CGCAACCAAGAGAAGCTTCCTGGCATCCTTCAAGTCTTGCCTGTGTCCAGATGGTCTACACGGGAAATTCGTCGCAAAGCCGACTTGCCTTGGTGTTTCTGCTGCAAAGGACCCCGAGACGGTGTGATCCAGCCGAAGAGCCTGGGACCTCAATGGCAGCAAAGCTGCATCTCAGACCTGCAGCAAGTCAACCGAGTTGCCAAGACAGCGAGTAAGTGCGACACAGTGATGCCGCAATGCGTGCATAGGATCGCAGTATGTACGCATGCAGGCCCGTTGCTCCTTAGATGTATCGTGGTTTGCTAAATGTCGAAAATGGCCAGATGAACGGCAACTGCAGGGTCACCTGGATGTCTTGCCAAGACTCCGTGCCTTACACCAGCATCCCTTGCATGGTAGAGCGCAGCCTCACGATTCACCACGAGAGAAAATGGAACTAACCAGCCGGCCTAGCCTGCCCCGGCCATCCCCCGGCCTGCCGGTTCAGAAGGACAAGGTCATTGTTCACTGCGCGGTGCTTCCTCAAGAAAACGGCAGAAGCATGCGGAAACGTCAGTATAATGGCTCGCACAATGCCTCCCCAATGATGTCTCCATTTTGCCAAGTACTTCTTGATAGTAGTCCTCGGATTGCCACACACCGATAGTCACTATACAAGATGCAGGCATCTGCAATTCTACAGCACCTGCGGGCTTCTGCATACATCACCACATCTGCATACTAGCCTTTGCACGCATCCTCGCAGCCCCGCTCTTGCGCTGTTTCTGGCAAGAAGCTAGAACCTGCTGCCACGTGTGCGTATCGGCTGGCATGCTTCCAACTGGCCCCTCTGGTCCTGGAATGCCTTGGCAGTTCCGTGACACACACACACACAGAACACAGGGTCACAGGGCGAGTTCTTTGGAGCTGCCTGGCCTTGGGGCCCAGGGTCTCCATGTGGTCCCGGTGGACCATGAGGGCCTTGCGGTCCTACAGGCCCAGGTGGGCCACGGGATGGCGCGCCTGCAGGCCCTGCTGCACCTGGAGGCCCCTGCGGCCCTGTGGCCCCGCGGCTTCCACGCTCACCAGGCTCCCCGAAAAGGCTGCTTACAACCACCCCGGCTTCACCAGGCAGAGCCGGCAAACTTTCAGCGCTCTCCAGCGCATGCTCGGGTGACTCCCAGGGCCAAGCTACACTTTCATCGCCTGCAGTGTTGGTCAAATTCTTGATGGCCTGCACTCCATCCGATGTCTCCGCTGGTGAATACAGGATCTCTGAAGCCTTGCTGTCTTCCATTGGACTGTCCGTAGGCTCGGCTTCGTGAGCCATGCTTGTGTACACCTCCAGGGCAGTGTTGAATGCAACAGTGGCCGCTTGCCGAGCCAGCTTTTGAATGTCTTGCAGATGCATGCCGGCCGCAACGGCATGGTCTGCAGCTGCTGATGCTGCCGCTTTGGCCGAGATGGTAGCGATGTCTTTCGTGGCTAATCCGGCACCATAGGCATAAGCTGCAGATGCTGTTGCTGCAGCTTGCGCGACTTCCTCAGACATGCGCCCGAGAGAAGATGCCTCTCCGGCTGCAAAATTACCTGCTGCCATTGCTCCCGCGGCGGCTGCGCTGTCCCGGGGCAAACCGTGCTTCTTGCCAGCGGTTGCGGCTGCATCGGCAACTGCCTGCACCGTGCCTCGCTCAGGGTAGTCTGCCATCTTAGCTGCTTTTCCTGCTGCTTGGCCAGCACTCTCGGCCGCAATGCTAGCCGAGAGCTCATTCCCCAGCTGCCCAGAAACCGCAGATTGGAAAGCAGCAGCAGCTGCACCAGCAGCAACCTCGCTCATCTCCTTCCCTGCGGCAGCAAGCTGATCACCCATCAGCCTGCCTGCTGCCAGCGCACTGGCTTTTCGTCGGAGAATTGTCGTGTTGGAGGTTTGCAATGCCATGCCCAGATTAGCCGCAGCGCTCACTCTCTCTTCGCGGGCATGTCGGCTGGCAACCCCATTCTCCAGCATGCTTTCCGTAGAGGAATCGACATCATGAGGGCTCGATCTCGCGCGGTTCTCTCGATGGTCCTGATGCCTAGTGGCGGTTGCTGCCAACTTGTGCAAGCTGCCCACAGCTGACACCTTCAGGAGCTGAAGTCGCTACCGCTACTGTTTTGCTTTTTCAATTTCAGCTCCAAAATGTGCAGCCAAATCATGTGCCGCGCCTCCAGAGGAGAGAGAGTCGCGCCTTCCCTGCACCGAGCGGAAATACACGGAACTAAGACGCGTTGGGAAAGACAATCAAAAGCGCCTTTCCAACCCGCTTGCCGGCATCGAGTACCACTTCGCGGCACCTCGGCTGTCGAGCTTTTTGGACGGGTTTCGACTCTCACACTCGCTGAAGGCAGGGACTCCTGGCGACAAGTGTCCCAACTCATGGGGTTAGCGTTGCGAGGCCTCTCTTCTCCCTCTCTCATTCGACCAAGAAACCGCTGCCATCGGCATGCACTTGGACGGTGCCAACGGCTTCATGACCGCACGCTGGCTGCGCCTTGCTTGTTCTTTACGAGGCTGTGCAAGAGGGCGTGGTACGCGGACCACTTACGCATGGGAAAACGCTCGCTCCAGAGCCGAAGCCCCAAGCAAAAACCCCGAATGGCCAGGGACCAAAGCTGTGACAAGATCGAAGGTAAACTGCGGCTCAATTCCTCAGCATGCCTCAGATGTCTGCCAAAGCCTCAGGTCCCGGCCAGGAATGACAGCAGCCAGAAATAGATATGCATTTTACAACCGGACATTTGCCCGGAGAGGTCCTGACATGCTCGTTTGAGCCGCAGCTGTCAGCGCGATCAAACCCACAAGTGTCTCATTGCATGATCTTGCATGTGCACAATTTCTTGGTGGTTCCTGGAAACACCCGCAGACCCATCATACAAACTCCGGTAGCATCAAGACACCATTCTCAGCACTTTTGCCTATGTGGCAGGCCGCGGATCTGTACAGAGGCATCTAGAATCGGAAATCTAGAACCTAGAGCGCAACAAGAGCGGCTGCCTTGTCTGAGCGCAGCTAGCCGGAACCTCCAAACCTTTTGAGAGCAGCTTCTGCTTGTAGCTGTCTTCTGTGAGAATTCACACATTCAGCAGAACAGTAAAAATAGTCAAGCCTTGTGAAGGGCTTCGAAAGCACTGGTTTCTGACACATGTCACATTTGGTTTGGGCAGCTTCCAACATCTTCCTCTCCTCCTCCTCCTTCCTTTGCTTCTCCTCCTCCTCTTCCTTCTCTTTGACCTTGTTGGCCTTTTGCTTCTCCTTCTGCCGCTTTTTCTTTTCCTTCTCTTTGTCTTTCTTACGCTGTTCAGTCTCATCTGTGATTCCTTCCGGCACCTGCGCAGATGCCCAATCCCAAGCATCTTCGTTGCTGCCCCGCCACTTTCGAAAGGCTTCTCGCGCCTGCGACGTTGCACATAGATAGTACGGCACTCGGCCCTTGCTGTCCCGAGAAGTCGGGTCTGCACCCTGTTCCAGCTCTTCCGTGATCGCCATGACATCATTGGCTTGGGCTGCCACATGCAGACTCGAGAAGAGAGGGTCATCCTCCTCAGAATACTTGACAGCCGGAGCTTGCACCGGTTCTGCTTCCGCTGGCTCTTCTGAAGGAGACGCCGCCTGCTTAGGCTCTTCCGTTCTGGCAGGTGCCGGCCTGAACCTTGCAGTGACTGCATCTGCAACGCCCTCTTCGCAGAACACAACACTAGCAGCCCGGAGATAGGCTGCTTGGACCGCTTCGAAAGTTGGCTTGCCAATCATGAAAGGCAGTTTGCGGACTTTCCGCGGGTCGGGCAAAAACGGCTCCTTCTCAGTGCCAACAAGGGTCGGCCTCATTCGTTTCGACACAGATATCAGAACCAGTTCACACTCGGCTAAGTGCTGTGCCCACTTGTCAGTCATTAGCTCTTTGATTTCTTCCGCGAGCCGCTGCTCTCCATAGCGGCGCAGGGACGAGCCAACACTCTTCACTTTCTTGCTGCTGTCGCACGCACTCTGCGATCCACCAGCTTTGGCACGGACCGTGTACCGATGAATCGCTTTGTGGATAACGGCCTCTTGGCCGTTGAAAACGGCCCCAGCGAAATGGCCACTGCGTAACGCACACACAGCCCACCGAGGGGAGCGGGTCCGCAAAATCTCCGCTAGACGCCTGTCCAAGGACAGATCACTGCCTTCTGCAAGAGTCTCGGGCGGAATCAAAGCTGCACAAACACCCAAGCCATATGTTGTTGGAGGATCTGACCCGCACTGCAGTCGTCGCAGCAGTATAAGTGCTCCATCGACCACACCCCTGGCCCAGGCTCTGCTTTCCACACCCAAGTGCCCCTCCCAAGCAACCTCGCTTTCTTCACTGTCGCTTGGAAGGTCTGGTCCCGGATCTTCGGGCTGGTTTTCCTTTTCTTCTCCTCCGATCTCTGTATCATTCTCCTCTGAAGCCTCTCCCGTCCGGCCAGGAGGTTCAAAACCACGAGAGCCCCGAACTGACCTCGTGGGCTCGAGGGCCTTTAGCTCGTCAGGCATCCATCGAGAAGTGAAGTCCCAGAGCGGCACCGAATACGTGGCCGTTGCTCTGTTGAAGTGTCTAGTTCGACAGAAAACTGGGAGACCGTTCTGCGTCTCGGCATTGGACTTGCGGTCTCGTCGAGGCCTGGAGGTTTTCGACTCCAGGTCTTCTGCGACGGGGGCCGCGTCTGCTGGACCGGTTGCGTCCATGATTCCTTCTACCACACTTGTCAATGCCCTTTTCCTTTTAAAAGCCTTCCCAGAGCTGATGCACACAACCTGAAGTTCACGCAATCCTGACTGCAGTTTGGAGGAAGGTGGACCGGAACTTCTAAGAGCTGGCAGATCTTAGCAGCTTAGCATGCAGCAATCTGAAGGCAATCGGCAGGTAATGCTTCTGACTCTACAGCTGAAATGCCCGCAGCTGAAACGAAAAACATTGGACGAAGTCATGCGCTTGCACCGCACTGTCGGGGCTTGTTTTGGTTCAAGCAGGCTTCGTCTTCTTGCGCCGTTTCAAGTTGACCTGTGCCACAGTGTGCCGTCGAGATCGTACCGGTGCACAGTATAACAGCACAAGCAACATAACCCGCAACACAAGCCGTACAGTAAATGCAAAGGCGTCGTCGTTTCCAACTGCCGTAGATGCCACAGCAGCAGCAGCAGCAGCAGCAGCAGCAGCAGCAGCAGCAGCAGCAGCAGGAGGCCAGCAACAGTCAACCACAACCATCTTTGCAGTTTGTTGTCGCAAGACGTCGTACTCACGTCTTAGCCCTAGGCTCTCACGACATGCTACTAAGGCTGACTTGCTGTGCAGGACAGCTATGCAGCTGCACAGGCATGCCTTCTGGCAACAAGAACTTGACGAAGCAGATAGGAAATGGAAACAAGAATTGTACTGCAGGGGAGGCAAGGTGCAGCAAGAAAGCCGCTCCGGAAGTGCAGAAACAACAACAAAATGCACGGAAAGAAAGATGACTCAATCAAGGTGGATAACAACAATATGGACACAACGGAAAAGTGTGCCAGGATAAGGAGAAACATCGAAGGAACATAAAACAGTCTGGTTCTGTCTGTCCAGTTTGGGTTGTATTTCTTTGCGATGAACCTGATTCATAAATAATAATGATTTACCTGTCTTGCACGTCAGACTCGGCGTCGCCATGCTGGTCATGGTTACATCCTGTTCCCAGCCTTGCTTGAGGTCAGCGAGCTTGCTTTGTCCTGAAAATGCAAAGAAGGTCATCTTAAGAGTCTCGCAAGATTGCTGCACTTGAAGAACAGCCATGCCTGCTCGTCAGGCAGCGCATCGGCCTCAACAGCAGATCCAGATGTGCGGCAGATGTCTTGACAAAGGCTGCGCGAAGCCGTGCAAAATCTTACAACAAATCATCTCAGCGGTGCACTGCCGCCGCACTTTGACCCGGCTCGTGCCCTTGGATCCGGCGAGCAGTTGCTGCCAGTATGGTGTCTCTACGTGACTCGTCCTACATGCATTGATTGCCTCCTTCAAGAAGAGGCTTCGCCTCGTTGTTGGACGGCTTCCTGCAGCTTCGGCGGTGCCTACACTAGGATACACGGAGCATTGCAAGCAGCAGCGCATAGTGCCGTTGTACGCATTGCTTTTGCCACGCGGTCGTCTTCGTGATGCGCCCGAACGCTTCAAAGTTCAAGCAACGAAACTGCAACTGCACATCTGAAGAAGACGCACCAGTTGCACGGCCCGCTACTCTTGGCGAGTACCCTGGTAGGATGAGTGACGCAGTCCGCGGCGACCAGCACCTGCTCAGCTTACAATACTGCACAGAGGCGCACGAAGAACTTTGATCTTCTGCGGCCTCTACGGCAGGCGTCAAAGCTCCCAGCTTCTTTGTCGAACAATGGTCCTGCCAGTACTTAAGCCAGAAAGCGGCCGGATGGCAGTTGGAGAAAGACCACAACCTTCTGTTTCAACTTCAAGATCTGCATCAGAAGCAAGAGGTTCCCCGAATGCATCACCACCAGAAGGGCGCAATGCAAGACACCAGGACATGCTTACACGACCAGAGATCTCGACCGTGGAGAATGGGTTTGGTGGGGGCATCTGCACTTTCTGGCCAGCCCCACCGCCCACAACCACCTGTCCGACGGCAAAGCACAGAAGTGCAGAAAACATCGCGCTCACAGGGTCCAAAGCTTGAAGAAGCATAAGAAGTGCAAGGCAATCCGCAAATGACGACACACCCAAGCTGCAGAAACATCGTAAATGACGTGTGGGATAGACGTGGCGAAGAATGGTACACGTGGGGCACCGCGCGCTTTCCAACCACTTACTGAGCAAGTCTCCGATAAGCAAGTGTGATTAAAGACTGCATCGGAGGCTGGCAACGACTGTCAAGCAAGACCAGCTCTCCTTGCAGGCTGCAACCTCGCCCGTGCCCTTGGTTCGACATCAGGCGCGAATGTTTGGAGTGCAGTCGTAAAACTTGCCGGAGCTGCTGTAGCTTCTCTCTGGCCAAGCTTCTTTCCGAAGTGGCTATGTAACTGCTGCTCAAGTCGTAAAGTCGGCCGCAGTGCGAAAGGGTCCTTGCCCCCACACGAGATGTCTGACACGACTCGTCTGCACGTGCTCATCCTCTAGCCTCGGGGACGACTGCCTTCGCCGCCGTGCGGTCCTCATGATGCAAGCTCAGGCAGTCTGGAACTGGAACCTTGACCTGCTTCATCATGCTTCACGTAATTCAGCCTTGGCTCCACGAATTCAGCACCGGCTCGTGCAGTTGATTTCATCGATTGCCTTGGCTCACCAAACGACGCAGGGCGGGAGCAGGTTGGGAGACGAAGTTTAGCGAAGCGGCACAGGCGACTGCGGCTCTGGACTGAGAGGCACCAGAACTGCCGACGTTTTCTTTCTTTGGAGGTGGAGCTTCTGCAGGTCTGACTCCACCGGCCTTCGATGTTCAAGAGGCGGGACCCAACAGACCGAGCGAAAGCGGCCAGCATTGCTTTGATGCTCGTGCTCGATTCGCACTGCTGCCCAAACTGCACGACGTATGAGTTCCTGCATGCACCCAGGCAGCAACATGATGGATCAGAACCCTGGCAAGAAACCAACGACATCACAAGGCAACGACATTAAACCAGATGATGGCCTTTCCCTATCTTAGCCAAGTCTCGAGAGAACTGATCATGAACGCAAAGCACTCGCGGTTGAAAGTTGATGCACGAACGAAAGCATGGCAATCGGGCAGATATGTCAGCAGCCACGTCGTGCGCAGAGCCACATCCACGAACGCTAGCACAGCATACGAAGGGCGAGGATACAAGCGGTGCCGATTGCTGACTGTCAGCCCGAAGTCCACCACGATGTCCCAGGTTGCCTGAGCAGCGGAGCTGGACAAACAGCCCACTAATTACTCCCATAGCATAGCCTCCTACATGTTCTTTTTTATTCCAGAGTTCTCTGTCCTCTGTGATGCAGGCAGAGTGCCTGACACTGCTGACACTACCGAAGGCTTTTTTCGGCCAAGGTGCAGCATAGGAAGTGGCTGCTATGTAACCTGACAGGACAAGCCAGCGACTAACTCTGTTTGCGATATTGGCTCATCACGACGGCACCGCGGGCTGCGAGACCAAGTCTAAAGCTGTGAGAAATCGAGTCTCTGCGCGAAGTTGCGAGATGTTGCGAGAAGCTGCGACGGGGGCCGGGTTGCACTCCAGTTTCGTGATTGTTGACCGTTTGTATTGATGCGAACTGTCCACGGAAGCTTCGTCTCCAGCCACCCAACAAAGCTAGACACAACACAAAGATTTCGACCGAAATTCTTGGCCGTGCGAGCCCCCAAATTGAGTTATAGCCAGCCTGGCCCTTCCCCAAACGGGCTAAAATGCCTGCCGCCCCCGCCCTTTCTCGGTGCTCAGAAGAGCTTGCAGCTGGCTGAGGTTGGTCAAGCCAACGATGTGTAGCCCTGCCGGCAAGCGCGACTTGGGCGAGGGCGCATGCTGCACAGTGGCCGGCGAGGAAGGGTCAACAGAGAATGTGGCATGGTTGGCACGCTTCTGCTTGGTCTCGTTTTGGGGATTCAAGCTGTCCCAGTTGACCGAAATACGAGCGGAGCTGGCTGTTTTGGCGTGCCAGTGCTACGAGAAGCGGGACCACCTTTGGGCGGGCAAGCCACCCTCGTGGGCGTCCCTGGATTGGAAGATGTGGCCATAGACTTCTGTGTCCAGCGGCACAGCGCGAGCTGCTTCTTTCCACCGCAAACCTATCGAATTGAGGTTCGAAGAGCCAGCACAGAATCTGTCGGAGTTGGGGTTGTAAATAAGCCCAAAAAACCGTGCTGGAGGCAGTGAGTCTTCAAGGCCATCGTGCAACAGAACAACCCACACAAGTGTGGAAATCGCAAGCAAGGCCACAGAGCGCACAAATCGGTGGTTCGTCTAATGCCTGGTGTCGTACCGCCAACTAAGCTCCGCGCTCAACATCCGCACCATGTCGAATTCTAAGGGTGCCAGTCCCAGCGGGAGCTGATGGACGGCAGCCAGCAAACTGACGATAATGGCCAGGCAGTACTTAACACAGTTGAGCAGGTGCCTTGCCGTGTCACCTGTATCGTGCATCCGGCGCAGGCACTGTGCAATTCGGAAGACCAGCGGCAGCACCAGGATTAATTGAAGCATCGCCCACGCGAGCCCCTTGTCTTGCTTGCATTGTACCCGAATGTCACGGGCGTTTAATGTTTGCCAATTGCGAAAGTAACATGAGGTGTAGGCCACATCTTTTAAAGGTCGGCCAATCGAGGTCAGAAAGTCGGCAAAAATGTTTTCGGCGAAGCTAACTTCTCCTAGCAGAGAGAAGCAAAAGACGCGCAAGATCAATCTCGAGAATAGCTGGCGAGCGCCCCTGGACACCCACCAAGAGGTAATGCAAAGCTGTAGCATCAGCACGCTGAAGGAGTAGACGTGAGCTAGAGACCAGCCAAGCTTGTGAATCTCTGGGTGAATGTTGAAAAGCACAGCGCCAAATTTCATGTCTGCCAGAAAACAGAATGTGAGAACAATCCAGACTCCAGTCTGAACAGACGCATAATTCAGCAAGGAAATTGCCGAAACATCCAGATCTGGAGAAATGTCTAATAGAAACAAATAATTGATGTTGTACCGCTCGAAAACGCTGGCACAAGCACCAGCCAGCCAAGCTGTTAAGCTCATCATGAAGGAAAGGCGAAGAACAGGTATCGTAGCCTCAGCTGCAACACTCAGATCACTCAATCAAGCCTGGCCTGCAAATGGGCAGCGACGGCCTTTCCTCTCCACCATCACCGCCGTCGAGGGATCTCTCATTCAGAACTGAAGAGAACATCCGGATTGAACTAAACCAGTGCAAACATGTTCGGTCGGAACCATTCGTTGACCTCTCTTCCTTGTGCCCTCCTGCATGCTGGCAAATTCGCTATCCACACGTGCTTGCTGCTTGTGCACCCCTGTCAGATGACCGACCGCAAATGCAGAGAAGGGTCAACTGCAGGCCCCCAAGCCCCGGACGAAGGCCCTGGGGCATATTCAAGCGCTTCTGTTGTGAAAAAACTGGGGAACGAGCCTCAATGGGTCTTTTGCTTGTCGTCCACTACAACACAGAGATCAAAACATAATCCCCACCTTTTCTGTCTGAGCAGTTCAGGGAAACAAAGAACCAACACAGACATACCCAGCTGTTCCACGAGGGCATGCACGCAGCGTAGACTGCATTGTCTCCGTAAGCATCACAAGCCATTGGCCGAGGCACTGCCAGATCTTCAACGGAGTAGTGATTTATTTGAGGCTCCATTCCAGACAGGACCGCCAACACTATGAGTGCCATGGAGATCACCCCAAGAGAAAAGGAGATCCTCGCCAATGCCCACAAATTCTCGGTGGCAGACTTATCATGCGGAGAATTCATCTGCAAATCCCCGTCCAGGCCAAGCTGATCAGCAAACTCACGCAGCTGACCTTTCAACCTATCGAGTCTGCTTTTCACATGATCATTGAAGGGATCCTTCTCTTCGAATTCCTTGAGCTTTGAAGGCAGTGTGCACAACCCGGTCTGCTTGTCATGCTTTTTGAGAATCTTGTAAACGGCGGTGTGGTTCGCATCCAAAAAATGACGCAGATCAAGGATTTTGCTCTGCAACTGCTGGGTCAGGCTCTGCAGGTGCATTCGCAGCTGCGGTTCATGATGACTTCCAGAAGCTTGCTTGAGATCGTCCTGCGCTGCGCTAAGTCGAGCCTCCACTTCGCCAGCAGTCGATGTGAGGAGGTAGTTCACCCGATGGACACAGGCACTCAGCTCCTCGAACCACTCGTCGCTGATCTTGCATTCGTATTCACAGCGGGGAGAGCCTTCGCTGGAAGAGGCGCCATCGTTTGCTTTTGAACGGGACCTCAAAGCCCCGTAGTGATCCTTAAGAGAGCGCTTCAGCCCGGCGTAGTCAATGTAGAAAGCCTCCCAGCCGGTGACCTTGTGTCTTTCCAGCTGCTTGCCAAACTTCATTCCGACATCAGCTACATCCACTTACCAAACAGCACAGCTTGAGCAGGACATCGGTCCGGACGGCATCCGAACATCGAGCGTGATGGCCTAGCGGGCTGAGACTGATCTCTAACGTGATAGCCTAGCGGGCAATTCGGGTCCTCTTCCTTTTCTTTGGAGATGGAGATGCAGTCAGCGTGGAAGGTTCCTTGCTCGTGGAGATCCTTGGCATCGCTTCGTGTATCCGTGGTGCAAACAGTGTCCATCCTGTGGTGATCCCACGTGAATCATGCCCAGGCGCTGAATTCCCAGCTCTGTCTCGTTTTCCCCCGGCTTTGCTGCATCAGACTGCATCCAAGGCAACGGGCGGTGTTGAAAACCACCTCAGTCCGACGGCTGCGCCAAGAACCTCTGGGTCGCCCGTCCGCTCAGTCGGGAACGTACACCGTCCTGGCGATTCGCTCTCCAAACCATTCTTGCCGCTTGCTGCTGGTCCAGAGGCTTCAGTTGCACCTGGCAACTCGGATGCAATCGAGGCACTTGTCTTGCAAGCCCAAGAGCTAAAGCAGCTGCACCTGCAGAGCAGTATCCTTCACGAACCATTCTTCTGGCAGGGACTGCCCTGCGCAGGATCATATTGCAGGCATATCTCGCAAGAGGTCTCCATCATGCTGAGGCCAAAGCTCATTTCACGGTAAAGCTGCTTCTTGGACCGGTTGTCTGTTTGATTGGATGCACTCAGAAATGTCTGGTAGTAGTCGTGCATCTTCTCCTGAGGGTCCATCCGGTCATTGCCATGCATTCCTTCCACGAAGCTCCTACGATTTTACTTTCCATCCTTGAGCTCTTGCCAGCTCCATGTATGCTCGGGGTTCGGTGCCCAAAGAAACTCCTGAACGGGGAGCTGGATGTCGCGGCTTGCGCAAGGTACAGGGCTGTGCAATGGTGTGGAGCGCCTGAGCAACAAACTTCCAACTTCGCCAGCGGCTTCGCCGGTTGGGATCCGGATCTCCGAGGTCCTCAGACGAAAACATCACCGCATGGGCTCCGGATCGAGTCGCTTACATCTTCCAGGCTGAAGGGCAAAACGACCGGCCTGAAATCTCAGCTTTGGGATGTCAGCAGGCTTTGCAATGGCGACCTGGCATCAAGCACGATGAGCCTGGCAAGGAACAGCCGACTTCAGCTTGGGTTGGCGCCTCGGTGAGCATCTTGGGCAGTTCGTCCTCTCTATATTGGATATCATAAAAGGAACACTAATCTCAACGCTTTCATGACATCTTCGCACACGTCTCAACACTCTTCGCCGTGGTGATTCCTCGTTGGGGCGACGCTGTGCAGCAGCAGAGGCCTTGTAGAAAGCAAAGCAAACAATTCCACCATGTCGCTGCTCACTGCCTCTTCTCTCGCTTTCGTCACCGCCTGCCACAGCCTTACATCCAACCATGCCGCTATGAATTACGACATGGACTGCATTCACTTGGCCGATTGCATTTCTGCATCATCCGGCCCCTGCATAGGCGCAAAGTTGCTCTAGCAATGTCACGTTGTCGGCAATGACAATTACGGCCCCACCTGCAAGCGATCTCCCAAGTGCTCCTTGACGAATTTGCAGAACGCCTTTTCCGTCTGGGGTGCCTCACGTACGATCTCTCTGCAGCGGGCTACGAAGGAAGGTGTTCGCAGGCACGCATGCGCACCTGCTCAAACTCGAAGAGGTTGTGCAACAGTGACTTGACATGTGGTCTCTTTTCCGCCCGCTTTGCGGCACGAACGATGTCGTGCCAGGCCTGGCTTCTGCCACATGCAAGCCCTGCTCCACGAGCAGCTAGAGACCCCGCAACTCACAGCGCGTTTAGCCTGCTTGTCAACGATCACTCGGTGAGCTTCGCACCACCCGAGCCACTGCAGCCAGTAAGGATCCTGAAAGCCAATGACGCCCGACCGGAGCTCAAGCTCACTTGTGCAAAGGATACGGCCCCACGGAGTGCCTCAAGACCAAGACTGCTGCCTGCTGGGCTGCAGTGACCCATTTTCCGGGTGCAGTACAACTCTCATCACACGGACATGCGCGGCATGCGACCTTTGACACGCCAGCTTCGTTCAGATTCCATGACTTCGGCGCAGTGTTTCGGTCATGCGTGGTGCTTCCGTGCTTGGCTGGCCACCTGCACAGTCCACGACGAGTCTAATAATTACTAGGTCTAATTATGCGGCCTAAACTCAACGAAAATCACGATGCGAGGCATTGATTTTTTGTACTCTGCCTTTGCCATTCACTAGCATCCTGCATCGTCCTTTGAGTCATATGCTACTTGGACGACACGTACTTTGTTTTTAGCTGCTGTCAGACCAAGTAACCTTCCACATGTGAGAACCTTTCACATGTGGTAACCTACTCGGATAGACACAGTATCCTCCACCATAGCAGCAGGAACATGTTGCATGGCCATTCGTATGTAAGAACCGTTTACGGAAAGTGGAAACCAAGAGCGACCTTTTTTTTTTGCACATGGGGCTGAACGGGATGGGAATGCTGTCCAGAAAGGACCTTGGGTCTGCCCAGCCGCAGCCACTGAAGAGCCTAACATGGCAGCCTCTCCAGATGCTGCCAGAGCCTTTATGGGCCGTCGCCGCGTCGAAGGAAGTCATGCCAAATGTTGCCGAACCACAACCACAAACCACAACACAAACTCAGGAACCATCACATACAGTCACATGCATGCACGGTAGGATGAGCCGACAGCTGAAGAATCTGAAGCGGCAGAGCAGGTCCTTCTTCAAGGTGAGGCCATGGCCAACAACGACGAGGCCCCGTCGAGCACCTCGGAGGGCAGTGGGCAATGGCGCAAAAGTCCAAAGTCGAGGCAGAGCTTCTGGCGAGTCAGCATCACATTCAGCCGTCGCCAATCTGCAAGGAAGCCCACCCGTCCAGCCGCGTTGTTCCTGAAGCGCTACGAGTACCGGTGGGAAATGGTAACACAACCGGCAGCTTCTCCTCACGGCCGAGAAAACGATCAGTTCCTTCTCACGCCCTTGGAAATTGTCGACACCTCAGAGGAAAAACTCTGTGAGCGAAAGCCACACACAAGAGTACCTGCAGACATGGAGCTGGCGATTTCAAGCGTTCCTCGAGACGAGTCACGCTGAGCGCAGGTACAGTGCCAGGTACAACTTGGCTTTGCAACCCAAGGGACTGGAGTTCTTCGATGCGTTCCATTTCATGCCCCTCTCCTCACACTTGCACAAAGAAGGGCAAGTCATCCTGCCCTACTTCAACACGCATCTCGCGGCAATTATGGTGGATCTGGTGTGAAGTCCACCTTCTCACTCAGATCTGTCCTTGCAGCGATTCCTCCATGATGTCCGAAGAAGGCGCACCTGCTTACCGTCTTTTGCTTGTCGACTGTTCGTTTCGAGTTCTGTGACCGTGAGTCGCGATGGCCTGCGCCATGTACGGGGTCACCACGCCAAGGTCTTCGGCAGTGCAGCCGGCATCCAACACGGACCTTGGGTCTGCTTGCACCTGCTCAACTAAGAGAGCAACATCCGGCCGACCGCACCGACGATGTTACGACCGCTTCTCAGATCGAGAAACTCGATGATGTGAACGACTCTTTCTGCTTCAGCCAGATTCATCTTCGACTCGTGCTCCTGGGATTCTCCTGATGTGCTCGCGTGACTCGTACACGGCGCACATTCATCGCACCCTTCCTGATCACCTTGCCGCCAAGGTACGTGATGCTCGCCCCATCTCAACGAAAGCCACTGGGACCTGGCCATCATGAAGGCACGAATAGAGAAGTTCAGAATCAGGTGTTGGAGCCTTCTTCCTGGGCCAATCAAAGCCTTTCATTGGAGGACGGGCGCCATCGTGTATTCCGCCTGGGTCTGCACCATGGAAGGCAGGACACTCCGTGCAATTCCCAAGATGATCAAGACCACATTTGTGGGGCACTCTTAGCAGGACTCAACGAAGCGAGCGACTCTTCAGCCGCCCTCCGTATATGGAGCTTGCCACCCACTCCACGAGCTTCGGGTGGGAACGGAACTGCGTGTCCAAGAAGTATGGCTCCAGGCCCTCCTACACCAAGCTGTGAGAGCAAACGATCCGAACTGCTAAAAGACACGACGTCCGTCCTGCACAAGGCGACCGTACAGCGACAGTGTTAAGCCTGTGCAGAAGCACAGAAAGCTTTCATGATCTTTCATGCAACCCATGTTTCCCACACATTTGAAAGCTGGCCTCTGCGCTCTGCCTTGCCAGCACTCGACAACTGGCTGCAGAATCCTAGAACGTCCTGCCCAAGCTTCTTCCGTGCCTCTTGAGATTGCACTGTCGGCGGCAGCTGGCCTTAGCTGTTTGGAAACGTTTCCAGCAGCGGCCGCACCATGCTACGTGCAGTGACAAGGTGCAATGGTCTCCCGCGAGCACGACACGCTCACAGCGTCGCTGGACCTTGCAAGGGATCAGATGCCTGTAGCCCAGATTCGCTTACACTGAAAAACCGCACCACTCCAAGGTGCCGGTAAGCACAAAGCAATGACGGTGCAAACGGATGGTGTGCTCTTGTAACCAGAAGACATCAATCGAAAGCTTCCGCATGACAGGTTCATACTGAATCGAAACAGCATCTACAACTAGCTGGCCTGCACGGCTGACAAATTGACAATCGTCCTGAAAATAACCACACAGACGAACACAAAGTCATTCTGGCCCAAACATGCCTCTAGCAACCTTTACTGCAGATCAGTCGCGATGGGGACAAGAGACACTATTTCTGTGGCCTGTGCCTCGGCAACAGAATTTGCAGGAATGCAATGTGGCAAATCTGAAATCTGGAGATTGTCGTCGCGGCCGCCAAACTATGCAACAGAACATGACTGCCACACATCGCGCCCTTCCGATCACAAAGCACCAGCGATCCAGTTACTTTCAAGCTGCAATTTCGTCAATCAAGATGCCCTTGAAAGGGCCCAGCCTGGGCAGAAAGCTGTCCGCAGTTGCTTCACTGATTCACCGACGATGAGAACAAACACTCCCCTGATTTTTTTGGCCTAGAACAGCAGATTATTTGTTAGGGCCTCAAGTCAGAGGTACTCTTGCAAAGAAGCAGCTTTGCAAGCAAGCCGCCTCCGGCAGTGATTAACCTGAGAGCTGTCCATGCCCGTTCAAGCTTGTGAGTGGCGGCATGGAATGGGGAACCATTGTCCCTCATTTTGTTCAAGCTTGTGAGTGGCGACGGCACCATTACATCTTGTTCCGTAAGCTCGTAGGCTAGTTGCGAATGACAAGCCTGAAAGAAAGCCATAGAAACCGTGGGATCTGGAATTTCTTGAGTGGAACTTGAAAATCATCTAGGCTTCTGGAGGCTTCTGGAAAGAAACGGACAAAATTACTAAATTGAACAGCTGCTACGAAGCAGTGAAGAGAAGGGCCCGGGGCTGGCCTGGGCCTCGAACATGCTTTTCATCTCAGGATACGCATGCGGGGTTGAATGATCTGTCCAACCTACTATCTGCTCTATGCTTGTGTGCATACGACGGCCAGCGAATTTCTTCTTCTTGCCCGAGTTTCACATGAAACGATGCACCGTCTGCTATCCCAAAGAATGCAGTCTTCACCTCAGGCATGCAGCTGTGCACAAAGCACGTCGGCCTCACGAAGCGCCTGCGGTGCCACTGCCACGCACTCAACACTGCTGTGCACTGCTGATGTTGCGCTTCCAGCTCGTAGGCTATAGTTCAAACTGCCACGAATCCGCCAGCAAGGATCATGTCATGGCCTGGAGCTGCATCTCTGCATCCTCCCTGCGCACTTGAATTCGCTTCTGTTGCTCTTGATGTTGCGCTTCTGCTTCAGTTCCTTGGACGTGCAGAAGTCACTCATTTTTTGCAAAAACCTCGGATGTAGTCATATTAACCTGCAACCAGCTTCGCGCTTCCCGAATTTCTGCAGCAGCTGCCTCAGCTTTGGAAGCCTGCGGATGTCATGGCAAACACCCCAGTGCTGCATCGCAAGCCCAAACGAACACGGGGCCTCTGCGGTGCGGATGGACTCCAGCGCGAGTTCAAGAACCCTCGCTGCCGGTATGTCCATCTGCGCACCTTAAGGTGGTGCTGCAACATCATGACCAGTCACTACTAGTCCAGTTGAGGCTGCGGCCTTCTCCCTGCTCACTGCTTCCCTTCGCTTGCTCACTGACCTTGCAAACAGGGGTGCTGCTCACAAGTACAACTGTCATGGTCGGCTGCTACTTTCAGTACTGCATCTTTCCAATTTTGGCTCGGGGTGTTACAGAGTCTGGGACCGCATGTGCCTGCGATCGCGACTCGACCTGATTTTGAACATCAGGGATTCGACAGCTTGCCTTTTGAAGGGCCTTTTGGCTCTGCCAAATTTTTCATTTCACAAAACCTAGCCTCGTTTCGCTTTCGCAAATACCCACAGGTTAACCCCAGGCCCGAATCCTGCTAACGCCGACCCCAACGGCCCCCCTCAGGCCAAGAGGGGCCCACTCTGTAAGGACAGCACCTCTGCTGCCTGCAAGGTGCTGTGCAGAATGCCTGCATCCGCACGGCTGGCGACACGAATATCAACCGCCAAAGAATTCGAAGCTGTAATAATTAAGGCCCGAGCGGGCATTGAGATCGGATGCCTCGCAGGTAGCAACGACATGTGGCAGGTTCCCCAAGGTCACCTGCTCGCATGACTACTAGATGTGGCGGCTATGTAGCGATGAAACAGGGGGGTGTGACTTCTGGACTCCGAAAGGCAGTTCTCAGAATGTGGCCAGCTTACAAGCGTCACATAACTATTCATTCAATTTACACATGCTGACAATCCCAAACGTGGACTGCCGAACATTGCACTCCCGAAAGATTCCTGGTCGTGAGGCATCGTTTCTGCATTCGCCCCAAACCCTGCCCACACACATGCATCCACACCAAGACCCACACCCACACCCAAACAGCTCATCTAGTGTCATTGCACCCAAAGCACTGGCTTTCTCTCTCTGTCCTGGAGCTTGAGATCTCTGAGCGTCATCTGCTCCAGAACGGCCATGGCTGCTGCTCGCTCCTCCGCCGCCTTCTGCTCCTGCGAGCGATCACAAACACAACGAAACTCATTCCGTGCTCGATGCCGGTCCTGCTTCTGCTTCTTCATGCGACGGAGTTGATTGTCTAGAGTTATTTCTTCCAATTCCGGTCGGATCTTCTCTGGCCGACCCACACGTACCGCTTTCACGTCGACCTGGACAAAGCCGTGCACAGCAAAGGACGGCCAGATAGGCTGAGCGCAGCAAAGGCACTCCCTGCTTCGCCAGCCCTGCCTCTCACAAGGGGGCAGAAACGACTTCGGCTTAACCTGACCGCCGAAAAGCTTTCTGGGTTATGTTCGGGGATGCAAGAAAGTTACGCCAAGGAGCTGCTATGTTGTCAACCGCGATGTTCCCATCGGCCACCGCCAGAAGTGGTTTCAATCCCAACTGGGCCCAGGAGCGGAGGATCTGCACGGCCGTCGCAGTCTTGCCTGCCACCCAACATACAAGCACAAAAATGATGGCACTGCTGACAGAATACGGACAGGCCGGGTAAAGCCAGGAGCAATCATGGCGGTAGTTCTTTCAGTTACCAGAAAGGACTCTCATGGACTCTCTCCTGTGCTGGTAGTACCACTCAGACCCGTGTCTATTCATGCTATGCATGCATGCAGATGCACCTTAGATCGGCTGCCAGCCACTGTCTGTCACTTTTAGGATTATCGGCGGGCCTGTGCCGGGAGGGCCTTGGATAATGGTGAGGCGTCTTTCACACGTGGCAGCCACAGCCCGTCGCTGGGAGTCCGTGCATGTGGCAGGAATACTTTCAACGCACTTCGTCAGCATGGTCGGATCGCAGATCATCTTCTCGGCGGCTATTGCCGCAGTGCCGGTCGCAGCCTTTGTGGAGCTGTCGTCGATAAATTCAGTGTCCACCTTCTTCAAATTAGAAACTCGTACGGCTTTTACAGAACCATTCACCTGAACGTTTATCCGCACGTCTTCACCTTCGACGGCGTGCTCGCCCACTTGACGGACGCTCCCATTCACAACGACAACTTCGCCCTGCTGATGATTCAGATCTTCGGCCTGAAGGCCGTGTAAGGTGACAACCTCACCTGGCTTGAAAGCGAGCTCTGCAAGCTCTGCTTTGGTTGCCTCTGTCTGCATCCTCTGTACTTGTGGTGATTCGTCGCCCTTTTGCTCGGCGAGCTCCGCAGTCGCAGCCATAGAATCGCTTACTGCTGTTTCTTTCAAGTCGCTCCATACACGCGATGCCCAAGAGTCGGCTTGACCCACATTTCCGTTTCTGATGATCTCGAATATCTTTGAACAATCCTCACCTACCGAGGTGCTGTCAACGTAACCGGTGCACAGGGACACAAGCGAATCCAGTTGCCTCGCGTAGCTTAGCCTGTTGCTGCCTTTGTCAACTCGCCAAAGACGCTGTTTACAGCCTTGCGGAGGCGAAACTTCCTCAAAGGAAAGCAAAACCCACTTGTCTGTTATATCCTGGAGCTGTCCTTCTGCGAGCCTGTCCTGCAGGGGATGCGTGGCGGACAAAATGATGCTGTCGCCCTTCCGAAATCGCAACCTGTCAATGTCCGTGCTGGGTGGCAGCCACAGAAACATCTGGAAGCCAGACGTCGGTCCCTTTCCCGATCCTTTACGACCCTTGCCTTTGGCCTGTCGTTCCACAACGTCGCGAACACGCATGCCGGTCAAAGCCCAACCACCTCGTTCAAGTTCTTCTCCCGAACGTCGCGAAGCACGTCGACGTAATGTGGCGACTTCTTGCAGGTATTCCAGGTGCAACAGACTGCAGAAGTGGCCAAAGTATCGTGCACTGTGCTCGCCTTGTGGTGAGACGACATGTCCCTGCAGGCTGCTCAAATTAAGCCGCTGCAATGCCTCGATACCCAGCTGCTCTTGATCAACGAAGCCTCCAGGATCGGCTTGAAAGACTTCGAAGCCTAGTGGCTTCAATTGCCAATCCGCCCCTGTTGGAAGCTCAGAGAGCTCGGAGTTACCCGGCTTACCCTTGCCCATCAGATCAGCGCCGCCCATCCGTTTGCCCAACCACCACCCACGCTCAACAGTGTCTGCTCGGCGACGCCTCTTTTTGGCTGTTCCTGCAGCGCCAGCATCATTTTGAGGCTCTTGCTCTCCACGCTCTCGCTCGCAACTGTATTCCCAGAAATAACATAACAGTTTCATGTCTCCAGATCTTGAAGGCACCATCCTCTCGTAGGTGGGCCTTTGATGCTGGCTTACATGATCAAAATCCCGCGTGCGCTTGAAAACTCCGTCGAGTTCTGGCCAACAACCAGAATTCCGGAAGACCAGCTCTTCAGGCCATTCCTTCCCTTCGTCTTTCTCCTCCTCCTCCTCGATGTCTTTGTCTTTGTCCTTCAGGATACCCTTGCAATATGAAACACAATGCCCTAAATGTTTCGATCCACGATCCATCCAAGCCATGCTTTTCAGTTTACGGCAGTATGTGTCACATGCCACGAGCCACCCAACGTTCAAAGACACGTTAGTTGGTCTGAAAAGTCTGGCACTGAGCTTTCCTGTCCCGGAAAGAAGTCCTATGGTTCTACTGGTTACATGAGATTTAGGCTGCACTGCCCCCTGCCACCTCCACCATTTCTTACAGGCTTCTCGGATGTTCTGTCGTGCCACGGCAAGGCTAGGATGCTGCTGACAGGCTCGCTGCAGCACGTCCAGCGGCAGCGGCTGCGAGGCCCGCATGCCGTGCATGTTGTGCACCACATTTTACTTTGGCACCTGCCAGCTCTCCATCGCACCTCACGATGTCTTTGGACTCCGGCTGACCCCCCTCCGAGGGAAGGGCTCTGTCCTAAGCCGCAGGAGCTCGATTCCTTGTCCAACTTGCGCTGCGCAAGGACTGGATCCCGACTTCAATCCCGATCACCCCACCACAGTACTAGTTACTACTTGTAGTTGGCTCTTTGGAAGGACAATGCTCCTAAAAGCGCGGAAGAACCCAGCTCATGTCACCATCTTGCGCTTGGCCAAAACTAACGCCTCGGCGCCCGCACTTCTGCGGAGTTGCTATCCATGAACACTCGCAGCGTAGTTCATCAAAACTTACAGCAGTGCGGAAGGTCTTCCTGCGGATCGCGCGGCCTGTCGAGCAAAGAGAAAGCCTTGTGGTTTTGAAGCAAGAATAAGCTGAAGGCGGACATCAGCGGCTACAGCAACCAAGCTGCAGCTTAACCACAACTTGAAACAAGAGAGAAGAGGAAGCAGATCACGCAGACGACCTGCGAACCACGAAAAGACGCTGTCCTGCACGTTCCGTTCGCATATGACTGTCTCAGAGTCCGTGAGAATACCCGGCGCCACCGGTACCACAGGGCTCTCCTGGCGGGTGCACACGGACTTCACATGATGCCGTGTCCTTTTGTACCTAAGTCAGTCTAGCCCTGCGCCTTGCTCAAAGCCACATTTAGCAGCAGCCGGATTGCTGCGGGCCGATAGCAAGCTGGATCGAGAACTAGCCTTTGCAGCATCCCCGCATAGGTTGGTATGTCGAGTGTCATCTTTGCACCCGACTGGGTGCCAAAGAGACCCTCAGCAACCTCAACGAGTGCAACAGGTCCCTGCACGGCGGCTCGCTCTAAAATCTTGGCCACCAACTCCTTAGTCGGCTCGAAGGCAAGATAGGGGAGTGTGTTGGCAAGCTCAACACAGAATCCCGTCCTTACAGAAGACAACAATCAAGTTCCTTGCTCCACAGTCAATCGTATTCCACTGTTTGCAAAGGCTCGGGACGGGCAGGGCTCGGACTTTCGCCAGTTGCCGCAGGAGACCTCCTTCCCTCCAACAACATCTTCAACCCGGCCAGGACATCAGTGTCGATGGCCTCTGCCAGCTTCTTCTCCCACTCTTGCTCTTCCACCTTTCGTTGTTGCGCTTCGGTCTGGACTACGTTCATGTCGCCTCGCGGAGCGGAACCTGGTGGCCGAACCGTGGAGCCTTTGGAACCTGGCCACGGCCATGCTTGCCAGCTGTTGTGCCAACCCTGGCTCCAGCTTGTGTAGTCATAATCCCCAATCGAATACAAGTGCTGGTTGAACATCGGATCATCCATTGAGTGGCCGGAGTTGAACCAGCCGTCCCAAACGTTCGCGATGTGATTCGGGTTGTGCGTGCTGGTCCCGTGCGAAGAGCTTGCACCCTCACCCGAAACAGAGCCATCACCAGGTGCAGTTGGTCCCCAGCGTGGTGGCACGGTTGGCCTTGCGGCAACAAAAAAACAACCAGCATAGGGCTGGGCACGTTATGATCATTGCATGGCCTTCTGGCGCTTGATTTCGGCACGGTCTGCAAGCCGGGCAGTCGCGTGATCGAGTCTGGATTCCTGCATGCACGTCAAGCAGGAAAAAGCATGATGATCCCCAGGGGCGGCCAACCAAAAAAGTTCTCTGCAGCTGTGCGGCAGATCTTCTCCATGATTGCCCTGCGCCGCGGCGTCTGCAGAAGCGGCCGGGGCGCATCCGGCAGCTGGATTGTCCTCCAAACTGCGAACCGACATCAACTTTGGACCACTTGAAGATTACACCGCGTGCTACCGGCTGCCCGGCAGGCAGGCACCCTGTAGAACTTTCAACAATGACACGGGCTACCTGCACATTGTTATCTCCGATCGATAAGCAGCTGGCAAGCCTCCATAGATGTACATTGCGGCGCACCTCTGGTCCATCAGCTCACGCCATTGCATGCGACACAAATTCGGTGGACCCACCAGCGCTTTATCTGCAAGTGTGGAAACTGCACCAAACATCACGAAGCTGCTCACAACTTCCGCCGCATCATATCACATAAATGGCTAGATCCATGATTCACAGTCACAAACACCACTGCACACGATATGAACGGAAACTTACATGCAGAATGGAATCACTGTTCCCGCCACAGTCAGCGACGCTTGGCATAAAAGGCTGGATGAACTGGGAGGCTCCTGCAGGGTTTTGCATCCTGCCGCCCCCTTGTACATACACAATTGCACAGACAACTTGCTCACATCTCTCCTGTATGTTCTGTACAAGCTGTACAACACCGAGGGTAGTCGGCAAGATTGCCTGCAACAAAAACCAGCACGGCAGCATCATATGCTGCAGGCATGAACTCGGTGCAAATACATGTCCTGCTGTGAACTTGTCCTGGCGAGTATAGAACACTCGCGTTTCAACACATGTGTTTCATCCCAGGAGCCATGACAATCACCCCTTCGAATGACGGTGTAAGTATCGTCATCCGCTTCTGTGATCGTTGCCAGAAACGAGGCGCTGCCACTTGATCGGCCTCCCCAACCGTCACCCTGGACTCGCACGAGGAAGCCAGCTTCTGGTGGCCGAAGCGTGTGTCCAAGAGATTGGCGGATCAGGACAGAACCGTTCTTCGACAAAGCTGGAACTCGCTGCTTGCCAACTATGCGACGCCTTGCTGGTTGCCGTGGGAGCTTCGACAGCACGGTGTCGAGCCCTGGCATGGTGCCATTGTCCACAAGCTGCTGCTCAACACGAGCAGGTTCACTCCTTCCGTGGCACGTTGCAACCTCATCTGCTTTGCCACTGCGCAACTCCATCTGCAAAGCAGGCGATGCAGGTCCCAAAGAACATTCCAGCTCACCTTTGGTGCCGTACACACCGTGGTTCTCAGATTCGACCACCAACGTCGGGGTCAACGTGCCCAAATTTGTGGGCACGTCCGTGTTGGCAGGTTCGATGCTGGAAACCTCCAACAAAACCTGCTGCTCTACACAAGCCGATTCGCTTCTTCCATGGCATGTTGGAGCCACAGTCTCTATGTCACCGTTCTGCGCAAGCAACTCCATCTGATTTTCGGGCAGCACATGGCCGGGAGAACAATCCAGCCAGCATTTCGTGCCGCGGCTTTCGGATTCAACCACTAATGTTGGGGCGATCGTACCCTGATTGTTGAACACAGTCGTGGTACACCGCTCTACCATGGAAGCAGCCTTGGCCTCCTCTGGCGACATGCTCATACCATGTGCATCGGAAAGCTGTTGTTGCACGACTTCCTGGACAATTGCCCCAGGCGCCTCGACCTCCTCCTGGACATCATCTTCTGCGACTGGACTTGGTGAATCCCGCCACGTGGATTGTGAAGGGGCGAGGCTGGAAGCTGCTCGCAGGAAGGGTCTCTTGCGTCCACGCGGGGCAACATTAGCGGATCGCACAACCTTCAACTCGTTCTCTTCATCGTCGACACCACCGGCACCAGCATCCACACATGCATCCTGTGCGAGCTGGCTGGTAGAATTTGCCACCAGAGAGCCCGCGTCCAGGTCGGAATAAATCTCCAGCTGCATGCTGTTGGGAGCCAAACTCGATGCTGCTCGGAGCACGCGTCTTTTCTTGGCGGTATGATTAACGTCATCACCTTCCAAGCAGCCGGGGCCTGCAGCAAAGCTGCGAGCAACGACGCCGGTTTTGCCAATCTCCGCCAATTCGCATGCTGTGGCAGGAACCGTGGGAGGTTCAAGTTCTGCCAAAGCCATGCTGGGCGCGGCCATGCCAAGGGACAGCTTCTCGGTATTCCCGTGCTTATCCTGCGTGGTTATTCGAACCGAAATAAATCCGGCTTTTGTGTGGGGTCTGGGGACTTGCAGACGGGGGCTGGGAATACCGCTGCGCAGCCGGCCTGCATATCACATCCGCGTGGTTGCCCGCTCTCGCTATTATGCTTCAGGCTGGGGATGGCTGGGGATGTAGGAAGAAATCCTTGTGGTGTTGTTTGACGAAGCCTGCAGTCGGCCATACACACAATGCTGCAAAAGGCCCTTGTATCATGCATCTTTGACAGGAAGATACTTTCCTAGTGCTGCACAAATCCCGGGCCCCGGTGCTCGGGACATATTACCGGTCTGGGCAACGTAGATCACATATGACAGTAAAAACGTACCTGACCTGCCGAGGCCCCTGACTCTTCAAACGGACTCTGGAAGATGATTATGCCACATAACGGTTGGCAGTGGAAGGCTTTGGCTTTTTTTGGGGGGGGTTTGGTCGGCATGACGCATGTTTAGATGGGAAACCAAAGTCAATTCCGAAATCCGTACCCCACAGCCTAGATAAAACATATAGTGGAACCGATAAATCTTGAGTGGCTCCAAATCAAACTATGCATCCTGAACCCTGCCCACAGCAATTTTTGCAGGTTCGGTGTATCAGAAGTTTAAAAACTGTTGTGTTTCGTAATGCTATGCTTCGTCGATGCCCCCCAGCTTGCACTGCTTTTCCGTTTGCAACTATTTCTCCAGCAACCATGCACAAGTACACAATTCCTTGGCAGTCGCTCGGCGGTGCAAGAACGCTTTTGCAACGTCGGTTTTGTTTCCCCGTTCCACCGCCAGATGACAGGACCTACCTCCCACCCCACCAGTGCCGCCATCTGCGGGCCGGAACGCGGCTCGGCTGCGGCCCGGTTTGCCATCGGGGCCATTGGGTGTCCGCGAGAAACTCGTGCAGAGCCGGCACCGGTCCGGCAGGGGAAGCTCGAGGAACATGGTTGCAAGCGCTCGCTGCACAGCCACAGCGAAGAGGCCACTCCACCAGAGCACCCACGCGGCCTGCGCGGCCGGATGCATGCGCAACAAGGCGAAGGAAGGAGGCAGCTTCGGCATCCCAACGGCCACCAACCTCCTTCCGTGGTCGAGCTCAGGATAAGCTTGCCTGTGCTTGCTCCTGGCTGCTGCGCACAGCCACGCCTGGCCGGGCCTCGGTGCCAGCTGGTGCGGTCCTTTATGCCGGGAAATGGGGCTCACACGAGTGGCATCGACTCCGTAACAAGCTTCTCCGGCCCGTGGACACGAAACAAACCGTTCTGATCCCAACCCCACAAAGCCAAAACCCACACTGCGGCGAGCACCGAGCTCCGCCATCCCGTGCCGATGCTGCAAACGGTGCCCGTTTTCGTGCGACCTGGCATCCGCCTCGCCAGCAGCCTCCAACACCTCCGGGCTGCGTACAACGGACCGCCTGATGACCGCGCCCGAGCTCGCGCTTGGAAGCTCGCCTGCACCCCGCATGCTCCTCACGCGGCCGGCTCTGGTGATGGGCGCCGCTAGCTTCTGATGCGATTCCAACATTACGAACAAGGGCTCTGGCTCGCGCTTCTTGCGGCTGCGCGCGCTACACGAGCCTCGCCCAGGCCGGTCACCGACCTCGATGCGGAAGCAGTCGCCGAGCGACGGCGAAGCCGGCTGCAGGCGTGCACGCAGAAGTGAACTTTCACGCGCCCGCCAAGTCCTGACCGCCCCTGGCGATGAGGCGACTCGGGCCGCCCTGACCGACCCAGCCAAACGGCCGCCGCAGCCATTCGAACACATCCCGCAAAGCATGCTGCAGTTCCAACCGCCGACACCCGTGCACCTCACTTCCACCGCAGTCGCCCACAGCCTTCGCGCGTACCTGGGCTGTCCGGCGCACGCGCTGAGCACAGCAAACTCTTGTTGGGCCATGCAGATGACATGGAGTTGTTATCGGAGGCAACGAATTTGATGGCGCAAGCAGAGGTCCCGTGTGACATTATGTGACATTGCGGATATTGCTGCAAGCATCGCGTTGTCCCGCATGACCGCGATCCGTAAGCCTGGAGGTGGCGACGTGGCATTGCGACGGGCGACATGTCTTTTTCCTCTCCGCTGAAGCGGTCTCATCTACCGGCCTCTTCTACATCTACTGCCTCTACTGCCCTTCAGCGGGGCGGCAAGCGACTGCATCCTGCCAGCTCCGCCAAATCCAGGACGTGGTCCAAGTCTGGGCCGTTGGGCTGGCGTGGCTGCAAGGGGGCAGGCCACGCCTGTCCCAGAGCAGTGCTGGCCACGGCTTGCTGCACCGCCACTGACAGATTGGGACCACCACCGCCGCGTCCAGGCCGTTCGCGCTGCGCTGCGCAACGCTGGCGGGGCGCGGTCAGAGCGGAGGCGGACGAGGTCCTGCACGAAGCGTAAAGCGTCAGTATTCCATCGCCCTCCGATTTCGGAACCCAGTACCACGAGTCGTTGCGGGCCGCCAGCTGCGAGTTCGGGATACGTCGCCTTTTTGCGGCGCTCCGCGACCCGCAGCACGGCGCCGCCGACTGCCTCGGCACAAGGTTGTGGCTGACCTGTCCGGGTCAACGGAGAGACCAGGGTGGCGTCGCAGCACAAAGCGCCGCCCATACTTGACGCACCGTAGACGACCCTGTCCAGGCGGCGTCGGTCCTGTGGATCGACTCCTGGGGCCGTGGTGTGCGCCAGCCATTGCTGCGGGACGACTTGGCCTTCTGCGCCGACCGCCTCGCGTGCAACGCGTGTCCACGCCCTTTCGACGACCTTGGCGCGTCTAGCCAAAAGGCCGGTGCGTGGGCACGCCAATGCATGGTCGCCGAACTCATCGACGACTTGCCTGCAGCCTGGGGTGGGGCCGCAACGACTGGGGCACAGTCGTAGTGGGAGGCGCAAGCGCCGCCGCAGGGCCAGCTGCATGGCATGCGGGTCCAGCGTGGTGGTGGGCTCTGTCGGCACTGCTGTCAACATCTGTCAACCATGCGCCGGTATGAGGGCCGGATTGTGACCGGAGCAGGGCCAGCGCGCTAGGCGGCAGGGTTGGCAACAACACGCGCTCGCGGAAATGTAAGGTGCGAGTTCGCGACGCATGGAATTG